TGGCCACCGTGACAGCGGAGGTCTCTACTGAGAAAACTGTGTCCATTAGCAAAGTGATTCCCTTGACCAATTTCATAAAGACTGTAAGTCTTTTTTTTAGTGTATATATATTTTTTTGTTTTAAAATACAATTTGTGTTTCATCTCTTAATTTTTTTTTTACAGAGAGCAAATGTATTTGAAGCCACTACTGTGATTGGAAGGAGAGTTAAGACAAATCTTTTAGCTGGAATGGAGCATCATTTTCCTAACATTGAGCAAAACCTTCTCTATGCTACAGCCATTCTATTAGACCCAAGATTCAAAAAGGTGCCATTTCAGAATCAGGCGGCTCTAAAAGCGGCAGAAAAAGAAGTTGGTAAGATAATTTGACGGCAACTAGCATACTGAAATCTTGTTATTGGTGATATTTATGGCATTTTTGCGTTTTTCAGGACGTTTGGTCAGTGCAAGCCTTGCTGAATCGCGCGCTACCGATCGGGCTGCATATGAGGCAGCGATGGAGGAGGGTGCCGATGCTGACCCTGATGTCGTTGTGGACCAGGACGACCCGTGGGCGGCAATTGATGAGCAGGTGCGGGAGTCGAATAGAAAAGCAGATGGTGACCGTGTGGGAGGGCTGCCGGTGGAACTGAAGCAATTTTTGAACCGTCCGCCGGTCGACAGGAAGTCCAATCCGAATCCTCTTAAGTCGTGGCAAAGTCTGAAAGGGGAGTACCCGAATGTGTGGCGCGCTGCCCTTAAAATCTTTACCATAGTTGCTACCTCCGTCCCGTGCGAGCGGCTTTTTTCACATGCTGGAATAATTGCCAACCAGCTAAGATCCCGGTTGTCTGGACATCACCTCGACATGCTAGTCTTCCTCCGGAATGTCACGCCGGAAGAATGGTTTCAAGGTTTTGCCAAGGCGCATGGCCCTGGATAGGGGTTTTGTTCATATTTTGCATTCATTCCTTTAACTACAATTATTGTTAATTTTGTCAGGGAAAGAAGCCAGACTCATTTGTTTTAATAAACAATTTTGAATCATCCCATTGCTGCATTTATTGCTAATTTACACTTAAACTATCGCCTTCCTACGCACAGACAAAAAAAAATCGAGAATCGAATCGAAAATCGATTCTTTGGGGGGAAAAATCGATTTTTGGAAGAATCGATTCTTTTTTTCGATTCCAGAATCGAAGAATCGAAAATCGACATTGACTGAAAATGTACCAACCCTAACTTCTACCAATTTAAAGGCTTTAACTTTAAGACCTGACTGAACAATTCCAACTTTTTTTTAGTGTTAACTGGAATCCATAATGCTTTAATCATGTAGTTCAAAGATACCTAAGTAATATTTTTATTTTGTGTTAATTCTGTTAAAAGTACTTTGACCAGTGACTTAAGTTCCTCCTTACAGTAATATTTTGACTGATATTATTACTGTGCGATATACACGATCTTAAGGTAGGACCCTAGTGAAAAAGTTAAAATCGGTCTAGGGGCTCGTAGACCAAAAACTCGACCTTGAAGTTGTAGAACAGAGCCCCTAGACCGTTTTTAACCTTACTAATCCGACGTTTTTGCGATTTTTTTTTCACTAGGGTCCTACCTTAATGTAGTCATTATTTACTTTTACTAATTTAACCCTTTAGGGTGCCATGGCGTCACCTGACGACATGATGTTTGCACACCTAGCGCGAAAACCACCGCACTCTGACATTTAACTCTTGTGCGTACGTGAAGGGGAAGGTTTTGTGAACGATTTGGTACCCACGTCGATAGTATCGCCCCATCGAAGTCCCGTTTCGACTTATCAAAGATGGCGAGACGAAAGACATCGCAAAAGACATAAATAGTGCCCTTCGCGGATGCGTCACCTAGGTCTGTTCGAACGTTTTCAACTCAATCAAAGGTGTGTGCATATGGTTCAAGAACCATAGAATACTGTAGCCTGGCCAGATTTTTTATTTGCTTCCGTCTTCATAAATCTATGGTGCTTGCAAAATAGATGTCGTCAAGTGACACCATCGCACCTTGCCGTCACCGTTGCCGTTACTCTGGCTGCTTTGTGATACAGATCCAAAAAGATTTGACCAGCGGCATTAGTTCACTTCTTTCAGTTTCAGTTCACATTTTAGCATTGGACATTATCATTAAAGAAATTTTGGGCGTTCTAATCCCTATTTTGGTTGCCTACGCAGTACAGGCATTATCATGACAAATGCAGCAACTACGTAAAAACCCTATAACTTCTACAATTATTTATGGAAACCAGGTTCCCAGGCAGTTTTGGATAGGTAAACGGTTGTCGCCAAGGATGGCGTATTTGAGAGGCTTGGATGACCCTTACTTCCTACAAAATTTTAGGATGGATCGTCAAACATTTGAGGTTTGTTTGCATGTGATATATTCGGATGCTCCTTACTTAAAATGTATGTAATGTAAGTCTTGCTGTTCATTTTCAGAGGCTGATTGTCGTCATTGGAAACCACTTAACTATTAAGGATAGGCTTATTCGATTACGTACAGAAATCGATAAATGTGTGTTGATGTCAATCTGGATTTTGGCAAATCTTGATTCTTTCAGAGGAACAGGAGTTGTGTTTGGTGTCTCAAGGGGTACTGTACACCACCATTACCTCGTGGTAATCGAGGCTCTCAGAGAATTGAATTGGCACCCCGCTACATTAAGTGGCCTTCAAGACTTGAAAGGCAAAGAATAGCACAGATAATCGAAGGACGAACGGGGTACCCAGGAGTTGTTGGTGCAATCGATGGAACCCTAATAGCTATAACAGCGCCTAAAATTCAGAGAGAGCGTTATTATGACAGACATCAACGTTACTCTCTAAATGTTCAAGCTGTCTGTGATCACAACCTGCTATATAGAGATGTGTATTTAGGGCAACCACGGAGCGTTCATGACACTCGTGTTTTCCAGAGAAGTCCTCTCTATAATCATTTCTTAGAAGGTGATGAACTTCTGTCAGATGGGGAACATATTGTAGGTGATGGAGGATATGACAATTTGAAAAAGGTAGGTACCAATCTCTTATTTTGAATATTTAACAAAACAAAATTTGCAATTTTTTTTTTCATTCCTTTCAGTTGATTACACCTTATACTAACAGAGGAAACCTAACACAACGTCAGAGAAACTTCAATTATATACATTCAGGCATTCGCATGTTTGTGGAACGATCATTTGGACGGTTGAAAGGAAAGATGAGAAGATTGTTGAAACTCTATGTTAAGAGATTTGTTTACTGTCTTGATCACGTGCTGTCTTCATTTGTACTCCATAATTTCATTATCCTCAAAGGAGAAGATGCAGTATGTATTCCCTACCCTAGCAAGGTCCCCTTAATTATACTGATCATTTACTTAACTATACTTTGCCTGTTGTGACTTTCTTTAGGAAGGCATTTGCATCATGCCGGACCAAGATCCAGATCCAAACCGGAGCTATGCGGAATTTGAAATTCCAGATGGAGATGAGCCAGAAGATGCGGACGAGCCAGAAGATGAAGGAGTTGTGAATGAACCAGGAGTTGGAGCTGTCAATCGG